ATTATTTCATTCCAAAGAGCTTGCAATAAAATTTATTTGCTGCAGTGCTGGTTTGCAGTGTCACCTCATATATGAACCACAAGTTGCTTCTTGCTGAAATTTCCACCAGCAGCAATGTCACAGTGCCCAGAGCATCCTTGCAGGAGGTTGGATGTCCAAATGCCATCAGAGGATGCTGTAACACCCACACAAGTGTCAGCATCAGAGTGCAGTTACTTCTCCAAGAACAAAGTGGAGTAGGCTGCTGACAGCTCATACAAGATGCCCACATGGCTGCAGCAACGAGCCTTGCAAATTTGATRTCCTCAGTCGTGATCCTTTGGGGTTTGGGATTGCACAACAAAGAGTTCAGCGGGTTCTTTGCGTTCAGTCTTATCCCATACCCAGATTGCCCCACTCGCCCCCGGGAGGGTTTTTACACTCTGTATGGTAATTTTGCTTGGTCCAGTTTTTTAGTGGTGRGTGATGGGACCAAAAAASMACACAGARGGYTCCRTGAGAAATTCTGGAAGCTTTCTCCATCATGTCCAGTAAAGGAGCRCTGCCCCTGTGTTTTAGGGCCAATCTATGATGGCTCTGAGGGTGATGGACAGGCTGCTGGCCAGGCCTGGGCCAATTGGAGATGCTTGATAMACCTCTTGATGATGTATGGTCTTTTATTTAAGAAGAATTCAAAAMAAGTTAGTCCACAGCAGCTGCCTTAGTTTTAGCTTTTGGCCCCAGTCTGCTGCACAGGGGAGGAGAGGGGGAGCGTGAGGAGRTGTAAGAAAAAACTGAGATATCCCAGTCAGAAGAGATGGAGGAGTAGACAGAGGGTACTTTGCAAAACTGTGGTGCTCGACCATGAAAGAGAACAAACTGTTCTCGAGGTGATGGTCTTCAGTGGGAAACCTTGTAGAGAGAGAGAGAGGCCCTGCACCCAAGATAAACAACCTGGCCTTGGAGGGCTGGAGTGATTATAAGCCCGTGGGGAAGAGGTGGCCCCCCCACACACTGGAGTAAGTGGATGCCCAGAAGAAACTGTTTCTCGCCAGGAGATTTTGAGAGAGTGGCCTTGCTTCCAGAATGAAGTAGTTAGCTTAGAAGAATTGTTTTCTCTTTTCTTCTAGGACAAAGTAAAGCATAAATCCCGTGCCAACAGCAGTGATACTGGCTGTTCTTGGGAAGAGAACCTCCACAGCCCGGAGCTGGATAAGAACTCTTTTCCTATGGTGGTGGAAAACAATCGATGGACTGACCTAGTTAAAGCACTGATCCCCTGCTCCCCRCTGTGCACGGGAAGGCATGGAGGGGTGGGGGACGAACTGGGAGAGAAACAAACTGGGGAGAGAAAACAGGTGTCTTAAAATGTCCAGTTTTTTTTCTGCTCCTCCTAAAATTTGCCCTCTCCCTTTGTTTTTTCCTCCCCTCCCGTTTTATCCAGTAGGATTCTTAGTAGTTTTTAGTAATAAATCTATTTTGCAACTAAAGTTTTTCAGCCTGTTTGACTATTCATGGAGTGTGAAAATCTTTCTCTCAATACATTATCTTATCTAAAAGCCATAAATCTTGGTGTTAATTGGGCTTTAGCTCTCCCCTCTGCCTCTCCTTGGGGAGGGGGGGAAACGTCATGGGTGCTTTGGCCAGGATCCAAATCTGGAAAAGGGGCTCAAACCTTCGAAAGGATGGGTTTTACACTGTGTCATGCCGCACTGTGGGGCTGGGGGACACTTTGGGGGGCTTTGATGGTTTATGGCCCCTTCTAATGATGTGAGCACTGTTGGGCCCTGCTTTGTTGTGTCAGTTGGGCATCATCAGAAATGAGGAAATTGCCATGATCAAAAGCATTGCACCACCACGACCACAAGATCCTCTTCTAATCTGCCTTCTCCCTTATCTGGCTAAACCCYTCTTTGTTTCAGACATCAGTCTCAGTTCAACAAGGACAAAATAAACCACAGGACTCCATAAATTTGTTTAAACCACCTTCAGTCAATCATGCCTCTGCTGCATATTTGTGCTTGGAACAACGCATTTGTATTTACATTACACTCAGACTTTTGGAAGCTGAAGAAAGTGAGTCCAATTTAGATTTGAATGAATGGTTACAGAATCACAGAACATTTTGAGTTGGAAAGGACTTTAATAACCATCCAGTTCCACCTCTCTGCCATAGAAAGAGACATCTTCTGCTAGACCAGATTGCTCCAAACACCATCCAGCCTGGCGCTAGAAAYTTCCAAGGATCCAGGGGCAGTCCAAACGTCTGTGGGCAACATGTGCTGGGGCTTCACCACCTCTACAATAAGAAATMTCTTCCTAATATCCAATCTAAACGCGCATTCCCAGCATTTAAAGCCATTTCACCTTGTTCTAATGTCACGTTCTAACCCCAGCCAGCAGTCACACCTATGCAGCCACTCACTCAATCCCCAAACACCAGGATCAGGGGGAGAATCTGAAGGGTGAACGATGGGGGGAGATAAAGACAATAGGAAAGGGAAAGCAAAAGTTGAGCACACAAGCAAAGGATAGCAAGGAATTCTGTTGCTGTTTCCCATGGACAGAAAGGGGTTCAGCCACCTCCAGGAGAACATGGCCCCATCCCACCTAACTGTTATCTGGCAGGACAAGAAACAGCACTCCAAATGTTCCCTCCTTTCTCCTTCTTCTGTTCACTTTGTAGAATCAGCATGATATCTCATAGTCTGGAATATTTCTCTGGTCAAGTGGGGTCACTTGTCATGGCTGTTTCTCCTCCAATCTCCCAAGCACTCCCAGCCTCCTCGCCAGCGTGGCAGTGCAAAAAGCAGAGAAGGCCTTRGCTCTGTGTAAGCTCTGCTCAGCAATAACAAAAACATCTCTGTGCTATCAACTCTGTGTTTAGCACAAATCCAAAACAGAGCCCTACAGCTGTCATAGGCAAGAAAATTATCCCAGTTGAAACCAGCACACCTATCAGCTCCATGGCCTTGTCCAAAGTCTGTCTGCAGCTCTCTGGGAGACCCTTCAAGTACTGCAAGGGGCTCTGAGGGATCACCAAGACCTTCTCTTTCCCAGGATGATAGCACAAATATGACTTGTTACACAGCCATGGCAATCGGGCAGGGGAACAGATGTACCTGGCCATATCAATGATGTTTTGTGTGGCTGCAGAGGAGCAGACTGTGAATATCAGGGTGTACTCAGACACAGGCCAGTCAATCTAATGTCCCCAGACATTTTCTGTTGGGAACACAAACACCTAGATGTGCTGCAGCATCAGCAGCTGCAGCTGGTGGGAATGAGGAAATGAGCAAGCACAACACCAGGCCCTGTTAACTGATCCYGGCATATCATGCTGAAAGTCAGCAAATCTGGGAGACATTCTGAGGAATTTCTGACGAACCTATAACAGAAAACTGTCAACCCATTTCACGATAGTCATGCAAAATTCCTGTAAAAAAAAATAGGAAACTTCTCTTTTCTGTGAAATTCCCTGTTTATAGGGAGGGGCAAATTTATGACTGGGTATATATTGCGGTGGCACTCCTGAGGATTCAAACAATCCTTTCTCCAGGGAGAAGAGGGAAGGAACAGCTCAGCTGCCTGATCTGACACTCTGCTTCAAGGTAAGCTCTTGCTCCTTCCTTACTATTGACTCCAATATTCAGAATTTCATGAGCTCTGGAATAAACATATGTGGACAAATCCTAGGCAGGAGTTGCTGACCTCCAAGAGCAATCAGAGTTTTTGCATGCACTGAATTTTGCAGCACTTCAGTATTTTCTGTCAGTCAGAAGGGCAAAAACAGGGGGAATGATTTGGGAAAGAAACTCAAGCCAGCTCACCTGAAAATTAACATCAAACTCTTGAATGAGAAGGCAGGGGGAGATGATTGAGTACCAAAATTCTACCCACGACCATGCAAAAACCCTCTGGACAAACAAAGGTGATATCTGAACTTGTGGAAGAACTCACTCTAAACCCTGTTAGGGAAATCCAACAACTCTATGCTCCTGGAGATCATACAAACTCAGAAAGTCTGACACAGCAGTATAGGTATTTGAGAGTCCTCTACTACTTTGGGGCTGTGAGCAGGATTATGTACTGCTCTTTCCCATGGTAGGTTGTTTTCTCTATATCTGATATTGATTTAGATATTAGGTTCATTAGATGTGTATTAATCTTGCACAAAGAGTCAAGTAAGAGGATTTTTTAGACACTTTTCTGCTTGATTTGGGGATGATGTGGACATGCTCTGCAGAGTATGGTAAAAAGTMACCAACTATGGTACCAGTTCTCAGTTTCCAGCTCATTGGTCACCACGTTCCTGATCCAGGACTGGTAAAGAGAAAAAGGACCAGATGTGCTGGGTCAGAGCAGGGCTGTGTGTAACTCAGCATCCTGAATCCGATGGAAATGCAGAGATGAGTGTCAGGGAGTAAAATATGAAAAGAGCAAATGTGCCAGGTGACTTGGGAAGTTTTCAGCAGTCCTCAGCTCAGACCCTTCCCAGCCAAAGGTGGCCTTTGTGCTTTAGAGGCTGTGGCAGCTTCTGTCCCATGAATCCATTTAGCTTCCTGTTCTGCCTGCCTTATTCCAAATGMTCATGATGTTAAGTCACTCCATCGAGTGTTCAGCAATGCAAATGGAAGCATCACTGCTATCCCAAAGCCTGTGRTGCCTCTGAAAGGAGACAAAGCCCCTTGCTGGGCTGCCAGCAACACAGGGAACTTTTCTGCAGTTTTCTGTAAAAGGAATGCAGAATGCCAACTGCTGAAAATCATGTCAGCTCTGAGAAACACAAGATAGGACACGTTGCTGTCCAACAAATAGAAATTCCTGCAACAGTGCCTTTGACTGTACAGGATAAAGAATCAGCAAAGCTGAAGATTGGGATCAGCAGGAATGCCATGCAACCATGGGAGGAGCTGCCCCTCAGTGCTTGCATGGCAGCAGCCATTGGGCTGAGAAGATGGAGCTGTGATCCCTCGTGCCTGCTGCTACCATCTGCTTGGCCCCTTCATTTTCTCTCTCCATGTCTGTACAAGTTCAGAGTCTGGGGTTGGGTGATGTGGAAATTCAGGCTGAGCAGCAGGACATCCATTGCCCCGTGTCAGCTGAGAGGCAGGGCCCCAAGTGACCATTTGGGGTTCAGTGTYGGTCTGAGTGGAAGCACTGCGTGTCTGGGTGAATGTGGTTGGGGTCAGAGACACACAGGAAGTGCAGCATCGCTGTTCTTTCCCTGCCCAATGCCCCATGAGACTAAAACTCAGCTCAGCTTTGCAGGGGCTGAGCAGGATCCATGCCCAGCTGCAAGTGCCTGCTGTGGGAAGGTGCTCAGAGCAGGAAGGAGGTGGGAAAAGGTGACCTTATCCCAAGGCTGTTCCTCAGTTCCAAGATAACTTTGCTGTGGCAGTTGATTAGGAATCGAGTAGATTTGGATCCTTCCTCATACAGGCTGACTTCCCCCACTGCTGCCTCCTCTGGGAACCTTAACCCTGGGTTATCATTCCCCCTTAATGTCCTTATCATTTATCCATATCCAGGAGAAGTTACTCCTTTCCTGATCTCTCACAGTCCCCTCCTCTGCCAGCTGTGTCCCCCCTGCCACAAAAAATATTCCAGACCATGACCAGCTCTCTCCAAGCTCAGTGTCCCTCTGCATTTGTCTTCCAGGGAACAAGAGCCATTCACCTGAAATCCTCCCACGATGCTTTGGCTGCTGCTGCTGCAGGTGTTGGCGAGCTGCCTCTGGCTGGGACACAGCGAGGTGGTGACATCCTTTGAGATGTGTCCCCAGTTTTTCTATGAGGAGACCACGCCAAATGAAGCCTTGAGTCCACAGAATGCAGCCTGGATCTGTCAACGCTACAACAACCAGTATCACTTTGCCACTCTGTATGACAGAACCAGGAGAATTCCTGTGTATTCTGCCTACATCTACGAGCCTGGATGTGATGAGGTGACGACACCTGAATCGTGGTGGTTTGTTGAGCCCCAGGTGAGTGCCTCTCTTACAGCACATCACCYTCCAGCCACACAAAGATTAGCAGCAGCATTTAAATAACCACTTCTATTTCCTCCCACCCCCCCCCTACAAACATGCAAATGGACACACTGGATGGGATCCTTCTCATTTAACTTCAAACATCTGCATCTCATGATTCCTCTGGTGCATCTGAGCCATCAACAGGAGGATGAGATGGGTCATATCCCAAATTTGCCCAGTTTCCTGCTGTGACCTCAGAGGAACATCAAATCAAATTACTTCCCATGACATTAAAAATACAAATGATCCCCTCCCTGTGCCCTGCTGTGGTGGGAGGTCAAGTGATGGGGAATGGGCATCCAATCCTGCTGGCCTCTGATCCCCACTTTACTCTRAGCTGTTCTCCATCSCTGACAGAGCTTATCTGCTCCCAGTGAAGAGTCAAAGAAGCTTTGTGAGTCAAGAGAGCAGAGAGAAGTGAGGAGAAACTCAGTATGGGGTGGGATGGCACAGGGMCAAAGCCTCAGCAGGCACAGGCACTGGATATTAGAGGGTCAGGTTAGCACTGGGGGGATTTCTGGAGTGACATTTCAGGCAGTGCAAAGTGAGGAGCATCAGTGTCACTCCAGTCAGAAGGGTGTGATCTCCATCCACGGGCAGTGGCCTNCAGGTTAGCACTGGGGGGATTTCTGGAGTGACATTTCAGGCAGTGCAAAGTGAGGAGCATCAGTGTCACTCCAGTCAGAAGGGTGTGATCTCCATCCAYGGGCAGTGGCCYCTGAGCACCTTTGGCTCAGGCTTGRYCCAGAAGGATSCAGCAGACAYCCAGATCTGCACAAGCTACAGAGCTCTCCCAAACATCCTTGAGACAAACTTCAGTAGGATAGGCCAGGCCAATTACATAACAGAAAAAGAGGAAATTGCTGTCCTTGCTAAGGACAGAGTAACAGGAAGGAATTTGGGGGAAGGTGGGCTAGAGAAGGAAGCCATATGCCCTATTGCAGAGGAAGACTAAATATGGTTCCCTTTAGATGAACAGAATTTATAGAAAAAAATAATAATTTCAGCTTATTATGCATAGGAACTCAAGCAAAGCATCTGCTCTTGCACCACTGCAGCCTCCACATAAGGGAGGGAGAAAACTMTCTTTTCCTTGGATCATAGAATCATAGAGTGGTTTATGTTGGGAGGAACCTTAAAGATCATCTCAATCCAAATCCCCTGCACAGGCCAGGCCACCTGCCACTAGACCAGGATGCTCCAAGCCCCATCCAACCCGGCCTTTTCCTCCCAGACAATAGACCCAGACCACACAAAAAAATCCTTGATTTTGGTAACTTTCTTCAGAGGCCTTTTTGGAGTATTTACCTTTCTGAGGACTCTTTTGGGATTACAGGCTCCTCTCAGAGGCTGATAATTTCTACTTTCTTTCAGTGATGCTATGYTACTGAAGAAAATGCTCCCTGGCCCAGATCAGCTCTGAGACACATTCATAGCACTGCAGTAACAGATTTCATTGACATGGAGATTTTCTTTTATTTGCTTACTGAGCAAAAATGTTCATCCTTGAACAAACTGYAGCCCTCCCAGAGAAAGGAAACTTCAGCTCCAGGACTGATTTCCTGACACACCTCCCTGTGGATGGGGTTAGAGGAGGCAACCTCAGGTGTTCCAGGARTGGGGTACACCTGTAACAACCACACATAAAATCACAGAATCTCAGAATGGCAGAATCACAGCATGGKGTTGAAGGGATTCAGGGACAGCCCTGGGCAGATTCAGGCAGTGGAGAGAGGAGGAAAGGGAAGCAGATGTGGCAGGGAAGGTGTCTCACCCAAGTCAAAAAAAACCTTTCAAACCTAAGACTGGAAAATGCTTCTTTTCTCATGCACCCAGCCACTGTCCAGCACAGGCTACAGGCTGGATCCCAAAGGTGACAAGTCAAAATGAGAGCAGTCAGATTCTGAGCTGCTTTCTCTTTAAAGCTCTTGTGTTCATGCACGGGGGGGGGCACATCTATGATTTCTCTTAGGTTCATACATTTTCATGCACTGAGATGACAAAAAATGGGATCATGACACTCAGAAACTTGGGCTCCATGAAAATCTGCTTCATTACTCCTATTCCCCATTCTAACACCTCTTTCTCTTTCCCTTTTCTTATCCAGCTGATAGATAACASAAGTTTTATAGAGATGAAAAGAGAATCTATCCTCCTAGAGCAACATCTGTTCACCTTAGAGCAGATCAAAGAGAGCCAGGCTGTCGTTGAAGACTACAGCAACCTGATTGGTTTGGTCCGTGGCCATTTGAATCCCAGTGGCCATCACAGGAGTGATGACAGCAAGTTGGCTACCTTCACCCTAACCAACATAGTGCCCCAGGATAGCAGTGTCAACAAGGGTGCCTGGAAAAAATATGAGTTTGACATGATGGCTGAAAAAAGCAAGGGCTGTAGAACCACCTACGTCATCACAGGTGCTGTGCCTGGGAACGACTACGTCGCTGGTGGCAGGGTGAACAAACCCAGCCACATCTGGTCTGCTGCCTGCTGCGTGATGAATGAAGAGTACATGAAGGCTTGGGCRGTCATTGCTGAGAATGACAAGAACGAGGCCCAGGACCTCACACTGGGAGAGCTGGAGGAGAGGTTGACCGAGTTCTATGGGGGACAAGACATTAAGCTGTTCCACGATGACTGTCCCCGAGAATAAGCCTCACAACCTGAACAGAAAAGGGTGAGGAGCTTTTGCCACTCGTCACAGAATCACAGAATGGGTTGGGTTTGATGGGACCTTAAAGACCATCTCGTTCTGACCTGCAGGTTTTTCCAAGCCCTATGCAGCCAGACCTTGAATGTTTCCAGGGATGGGGAAGCCAAAATATCTCTGGGTAACTTTTGCTTGTAGCACAGCATGCTCAAAATAATTAACTTCCTTATAATATCCCACATAACCCTGCATTCTGTCAGTGAGAATTATCATTATCTCTTGTCCTGTCACTTCCTACCCTTGTCCAAATGTTCCTCTCCACGTGCCTTAGAGATTCTCTAGGGATGGGATTCCAAGGAGCCTTCTCCAGGCTGAACACCCACAGCTCTCTCTCCCTCTCTCCAGAGCTGATGTGCTCCAGCCCTTGCAGTACCTTCATGGCCTCCTCTGGACTCCACTCCAACAGCTTTGTCTCCTTCTTGTGCTCTGGGCCCCAGAGCTGGAGGCAGCACTGCAGGTGGGGTCTCAGCAGAGCACAGCACGGGAGGACAAATGTCCTGTGCAGGGGCTGTGCTGCTTCCTTCCCTGGTGTGTTTCCAGCTCTG